TTTTGCAGGGCTGGCTTCATATTTTAATGGGAAGTCTTCGAAAAAGGTCTCCTGTCAGTCTGTTCTATGTTGTCAAACCAACATAGTGTACTGAAAAGCAGCAGTGAGAGGTTGTTGAATAACAGTGGTTGGGTTATCCACGAGATCAGCTGCATCAGAGTAGTGTCATATCAGGGACTTTGTGGAAAGGTGGCTTCTGCTAAGTATAGATCAAGGCCAAGGGAGAGAGAAAGCAATAATTTTGGAATCTGACACAGACGTCAGGATACACTAGACTTTATTGAGCATTGAGATCCAAATAGTTAGGCAGAGGTGTTGCATACTAAAGGTAAAAGTAAAGGTTTCCCCTTTCCAGTCATGTCCAATTCTAGGGAACGGTGCTCATCTCTATTTCTTAGTTGATAGAATTGTCTGAAGACACTTCCATAGTCTACATAAACACTGAGGCGTATGGAATGCTGTTATTATCCCACATATGTGGTACCTATTTATCTACTTGCATGCTTAGGAACTGCTAGATAGACAGGAGCTAGGACAAGTAACAGGAGCTCACCCCATCACATGGCGCTCGGGTCTCGAATCCAGGATGTCAGCTTTCTAGCTAACAAGCTCAGCATCTCTAACTGCTGAGCCATCGTGCCTATTATTGTTGGACAAGCATTTTCTACAGATCAACTGATTTATGTAAAGTATTGGAACACCATAATGCTTGAAATATATTTTAGGTTTCATGCATCGGCCTGAGTTGCCTTTGTGTGTATGTGTAGTTTTGAATGGAGCCTGCCTCAGAAAGCAACAGGTATTCTTTGCTGGGTCTCCATAATTTGACATTGCTAAATTGAATACATTACCAAAGTTTTGAAATATGTACTGTTGGGTGCTTGGCACGTCCATCTCCACTCCAAGTCTGTTTTTGAATTCTCTGGAAGGAAAAAGCAAGACAAAAAACTATGATTGAACGGGGTGTTATGGGGCCTGATTTGTGACTAGGTTTCGCCAACTGTAATGCTATCTTTAACTCCTTTTTACTGCAGTCTTATTTTCTTGCATTCTAAGCTGCGACTACTTTTTCTATGCACAAACTTCATTTACTTGTTTATTTTATGTACTAATATAAGCATCTCTTCTCTCGACATAGGTATGGTCTCTGTGTGGTGTATTTATATATTGTACACCCACATGATAAATTACACACACACACACACACACACACACACACACACACACACACATACAAACTTCCTTGGTTTTGATCTAATCATAATTACAGATTATTTCTTTTTCTGCTAGATTATTTCCAGCTATTGAAAAGCAGGAAATGTTCTGTAAACTGGAAATGTAAACTTCCAAAACCTTTGGCTAATGCCTTACCTTTGCAAATTAAGCCTTCAAAGTTAGCTTTGAAGTTTTTCCTTGCATTATAAGAAAGATTCTAGATGTCCTGTCTTGGAAGTGTTTTACTGTTGTTATTGTTTTCCTCAGAAAAACAATGGAGAGATTCAATATGCACCAAAGACAAATTCCTTGTGTGTCCAATCACACTTGGCCAATAAAGAATTCAATTCAATTCAATTCAATTCAATTCAATTCAATTCAATTCAATTCAATTCAATTCTATTCTATTCTATTCTATTCTATTCTATTCTATTCTATTCTATTTCAGGGAACAACCCAGCATTTGTTTATGAGAATTCAACTTCTGCTTCATATAGTGGTTCTTTCCAATGTCTTTGTGCAGTGATATTTCGGAATATTTTAATTCTGATTTAAGGCTTGTAAATATGGCTCTACTCACGGAATGGGACAACGCGCTGAGGCCAACTCGCTGTGGGGACAATTTATTGCATTAAGGATAACTTAATGCAATAAATATTATATGCCACTATTTCTTCGGCATTATTTGCACTGACAAAAATGGAAATAATGTTAAAGAAACAGTGGCGGATAACATTTATTGTGTTGAATTGTCCCACATGGATTGACCTGCGGTGAGTTGTCCTGTGCCATGACGTAAAAAAGATGTTGGGACCCTAGAAAGAGTACAGGGAAGAGCAACAAAGGGGATTGGAGGCTAAAACATATGAAGAATGGTTGAAGGAATTGGGTATGTCTAGCTTAATGAAAAGAAGGACTAGGGGAGACATGATAGCAGTGTTCCAATATCTCAGGGGTTGCCACAAAGAAGAGGGAGTCAAGCTATTCTCCAAAACATCTGAGGGTAGGACAAGAATGGGTGGAAACTAATCAAGGAGAGAAGCAAGTTAGAACTAAGGAGAAATTTCCTGACAGTTAGAACAAGAGCCTAGTGGCGCAGTGGTCTAAACTACTGTTAAAAGTAGTATTTAGCTGCCAACCGCCTACAATTACTGCGAGTTCAATTCTCACCATGCTCAAGGTTGACTCAGCCTTCCATCCTTCCGAGGTAGGTAAAATGAGGACCCGGTTTGTGGGGGCAATAAGCTGACTTTGTATAAAATAGAACACCACTTGGGGGGTGGGCAAAAGCCCTACTAAGCAGGTATATACAAAAAGTATGAAGGCTATTGCTTAAAAAGCATTGTAAACCACCCTGAGTCTCCGGAGAAGGGCGGCATATAAATCAAACAACAACAAAACAACAACAACTACTACTACTACTACTACTACTACTACTAATACTACTAATATAATAATAATAATAATAATAATAATAAAAAAACAATTAATCAGAGATTAGATCTGAAATGTATAGTGTTTCCTGCCTAAACAGGGATTAGACTAGAAGATCTCCAAAGTCCCTTCAAACTCTGTTATTCTATTCTATTCTATTCTATTCTATTCTATTCTATTCTATTCTATTCTATTCTATTCTATTCTAATTCTATTCTATTCTATTCTATTCTATTCTATTCTATTCTATTCTATTCTAAAGAGTTGGCCTCAGCTAGTTGTCTCACGGTAAGCTGACTGCAGCAAGATGGCAGTGGCAAGTTTCCCTAGTCCCTATATATCCTCCGATGCAACTTTTATCTCATCCCTAGCCATAGACAGCTTATGTACATGATTTGAGCAGTTGAGTTTTAAGGTGTTTTGCCTTTTGTCTTGACTCAAGTTTTGTCATTTGTACATTTTGTGATGCCTCACTGACGACGTGGGTGATGGTGCAATCTGGCACTGCATTTGGCCATTTCACCATGCTGCCCTCTTCTCTCTGGTCACTGGATAGTGCCTTCTGTGGCCATTTTGGCTTGGGCTGGAAGGGAGGTAGAGAATCTGGCTTTTGTAGGGGCCTTAGCCAGAATCTCTCCATATAACATTAAGAATTTCATTTTTAATGTGTGCCAGTGTGTTCACAGAAAAAAGCGACAACAAAGGCTATCTTATCTTATAACATAGGTTTTCTCAAACTTGGCGACTTTAAGATGTGTGGACTTCAACTCCCGGAATTCTGCAGCATAGAATAATATTATTCTGGAACACTGTTAACATGTCTTAATAATCAGTCCAGTTTATCTGATATTTTTATTTTGCATCCTATTGTATATTTTTTTAATTCAAATTGTATTTTTAGTGTGCTTTACTGTAATTACCCTGAGAGCTTCAGCTACTGTGTGGTTTTAAAATATAAATTTAAAAAAATGCTTTTCTGCTGAGCTGAGTTCTGGAGGCATATTCAATAATGTGGTCATGACAAAGAGCCCACAATGAAGACTGGAAATGCTAATCAAGATCTATAATGGTTATAATCTGACTGATTTTGGTTTCATTTTTAGGTGAGCAAAATGTCTTTGATTAATGAATTGTAGCCATTAACTGACTAATTATTGTAGCTTTTCTCTCTCTTTCTAATTTCACTGATGCTTTCACTTTTACCAATGCCTAGACACTTATGTTTAACAGTCATAATAATTCTGTGTACATGCAAGGATCTTTTTCTCATAATAGGGAAGTTATAGCTACTTTCTTTTCCCCTTTGATACAATGGCTTCACTCTCTCCCTCCCCCCCCCCCCCCCCCCCCCAATCATATACACATATAGTGCAGAGGTGTCTAAGTGAGCTTATAGAATCTAGCCAAATCATTTTTATTTTGAAAGACATTTTAAAAATGGTTGATGATTCTGTGCAGTTTAATAAATTACATCCAGTGGTAGGCTGCTGGGGGTTCGCAGGGGTTCAGGAGAACCTCTAGCTAAGATTCTGTGCAGTTCGGAGAACCCCCAAATCCCACTCTTGGCTGGCCCCAGCCACTCCGCCCTTCCCCTCCCAGGAATCCCCACGTGGCCCATTTCGGATGCAGTGCAGGGCATGCACGGAGGTTCGGGGACGGTGAAAAACACCTACCAGAAGTTCGGGAAGGCCGGAAATGGGCCTGTTTCCAGCCTCCAGAGGGCCTCCGGAGCATGGAAGGCTGTTTTCGCCATCCCAGAGGCTCAAAAAGCCTCCGGAGTCTGGGAAGGGCAAAAAGCCCCCCCCTTGTGGTGGTGTAGGAGGCCAACTAGCCATGTCCACCATGGCCACACCCACCCATCAACCGGGCAGAGAACCCCTTGCTAAAATTTTTGAATCCCACCCCTGGTTACATCCCAATTATGAAGACTGCAAAGATGCTAAGAGCAAACATTTTACCAAGTAACATAAGGTTGGAAACTTCAAAACAGTTCCTATTGGAACTATCACTCATCTCATTTTTGGAAAATAAATCGGGAATAGTCATATTTCAGTCTTGCCAAACAAAGCCGCAAGAGATAATAATATTATTTGCTCAGTATTCTTCATTAGTTAATTTATCCATGGTCTTTTGTATGCAAAACGATTTTAGCCTGAAGGGAAGGAAAAGAACCATCTTTCTTAATTATAAAAATTTCCTGCCTGTTTATTTTGAGGTGATTCTTAGCCACGCAGGGAATAAGATGAGCTGTTATAAGCTTTTGTGTTCTTTATCTGATATTGCTAAGACATTTCAATTCTTGCTCTATTTGTCGTTGAGATAATTGTGTAAATGGTTTGTTCTCTTGCCAGCTTCATGGTTATGTGGACCACAAGCCCTTGGGCCTTCAGATCTTCATTGGAACAGCAGATGAGAGGATTCTTAAACCACATGCTTTTTACCAAGTCCATCGCATCACAGGGAAAACAGTCACTACCACCAGCTTTGAGAAAATCATTGGCAACACCAAAGTGCTGGAAATCCCTCTGGAGCCAAAAAACAACATGAAAGCAACGTAAGGTTCTATATTACAAAATGTTGTAAGATAGCAACAGAGGAGAACTTAACACGATTAATGTAAAAGATGCCTGTATTTAATTTGTAGAGAAAACTTTCAAGTGTAAGCCCTCTTTGCTTTTCCATGGTATATACATGTACTGCAGTTCAGTAGTAGAATAATTCAAGTGAGTGCAGAAAGGATCATCTTCAATCCCTTAACAGAGGTTGCCCATTAGGGGAAAGATCATTTTCTACTGGAGATCTTGTTAGCAGAATAGACACATAACTCACCAGTTTTGAAAAAATAATTTCATTTTTTTTTGGGGAAACTCCATCTCAAGGCCCATAACTGGAGAGTCCTTTTAGTGCAAATCCCTGATCATCAGATACTCTGATTTCTGCACCAGGAGAACTTTCTGATTTGCCAGTCCTTGGGAGAAGGAGACATTTCAATTAATCAGCCTCTTCCCAACATGAGTTAGCATTTGAATTGACTTCTTTCCCTTGTAAGTTTTGAACTGAGACGAGCATCAAATGGTCTAGTACAGGGATGTCAAACTCAATTTCATTGAGGGCCGCATCAGGGTTGTGCTTGACCTTGGGGGCCTGGGTGGGCGTGGCTAGGTTGGGCGTGGCCAGCTCAACGGCACTCGTGTCAGGGGCGCCTGTGGAACCTGAGGGCTCTGCCAGTGTAAATGGGCTCCCAAGCTCTGTTTTGGGCTGTGATGGCCTCCTGCAACCCTCTGCCAGCGAAAACAGAGCTCGGGAGGGCCGCATGCAGCCCTCCCAAGCTCTATTTTCACTGGCAGAGGGACTGCGGGCTGGTCCTTCGATGTTTCCAGGGTGGCCCCGCGGGCCAGATCTAAGCACCCCACAGGCCAGATCTGCCCCCCTAATGTCTTATACTGAGCATTCACTTTTGGATGGAGGGAGGGAGGGAGGGAGGGATGGAAGCAACAGTATAGCTACAGTAATGCTTCTTGCTGAAGTGTTTCCAAATTTGGAGAATCTATGTAGCTCAGGGTTGAACTATAGGTTCTTGATGGTCTAGAACAGGGCTGTCAAACTCCTGGTCTGCGGGCCAGATGTGTCACATGCTGGCCATGTCCACACCCAGTTTAGCGAAGGGGGGAAAAGTCCCGATATGTCACATGACGACGCCGTGACTACGTGAGTTTGACACCCCTGGTCTAGAAACAAAATGCCTATAGTAAGAAAACTAAATTTAGAAAATATCAAGACTGCAGTGAATCATTGTTCCATGAGGGATAATGACATTGCTAAGAAAAATATTGAAGAAAAAGACTGAAAACTCACTGCAATATATTCCCTAGAACAGTGTTTCTCAACCTTGGAAGCTTGAAGATGGGTGGACTTCAACTCCCAGAATCCTCCAGCCAGTGCTGCTGGCTTGGGGATTCTGGGAGTTGAAGTCCACCCATCTTCAAGCTACCAAGTTTGAGAAACACTGCCCTAGAATAATGGAGAGTTGTAGACTTAGGGATGTTTGAATCAGCCAGCACTATCGGAATGGTCCATTGGTATCAACTGATTTCCAGATTAGGATTATATAAAGAATTTCCATGAATAAACCAGTTGGAATTACTTGCATTGACCTGCTTTGGAACCTTGTTTGATTGCCAGGGTTGTAAGCTAACAGAGGTAAGCTTAAATCCATACTCTTGCAGAGCTACAGTGGTCCATTTTCCCTCAGGGAAGGTAGAGAATCAGCCAGCCCCTTGTTGAGATTCCATAGAAAGAAGCCAAGCATACCTGGACTATTAAATCTGTAATCATAATCAGAGAAACAAAAACTGACATTAATTCAGGAGTGGGGAGTGCTTAGTTTGCAAATGCAATGGGGTATGTGTGTAAAAGTACTGATGTCACTAGACAAGGATTATTCACTTATTTGTTTGTTTCATAGCATTGACTGCGCAGGAATTCTCAAGCTGAGGAATGCAGACATTGAATTACGGAAAGGAGAAACAGATATTGGCCGAAAGAATACTCGTGTGCGATTGGTGTTCCGCGTGCACATCCCTGAATCTAGTGGCCGGATAGTTTCTTTGCAAGTTGCATCCAACCCCATTGAATGCTGTAAGTCATAATTTTCTGATAATTTTATTATTTTCAGTAACATTGTTTCTGAAATCCATAACTTTACAACAGAGGTCCCCAAACCCCGGACTGCAGCCTGGCACTGGTCTGCAACCTGCTAGGAACTGGGCTACGCAAGCCCCATCCGAAGCCCCATCCATGCGTGCATTGCATCTAAGGCAGCATGTAAAACAATATCTCCTCCCCCCCTCCCCCGCTCAGTCCATGGAAAAACCACCCTTTACAGAATTGGTTCCTGGCAGTGGTGAAATGTAAAATTTGTTGCTAATGGTTCTGTGGGCGTGGCTTGGTGGACGTGGCTTGGTGGGTGACGTGACTGGGTGGGCGTGGCCAACTTTTTAAAAAACTTTTTTTAAAGGATTTTTTTACTACCGGTTTGGGTGAATAGGTAGTAAAAAATGCTTTTAAAAAGTAAAAAAAAAAGTTCAGACGATCACAGCTGTGCCGTGTGATCGTCAGAACCTTTTTTTTTTTTTTTTACTTTTTTAAAGCATTCTTTTACTACCTATTCGCCCAAACCGGTAGTTTTTATCACTGCCGGTTCACTCGAACAGGAGCGAATCAGTAGCATTTCACCTCTGGTTCCTGGTGCCCAAAAGGTTTTGGGCCACTGTTTTACAGGACTGAAATACAGGCAGTCCAGGATTTAAAACCATCTGATTTAGGGACAATCTGTAGATGCAAACAGGCTACCTATTGTTAAAAATGGCAGATTGCTTTCTTCTTTCTTGAGTCAATGAAGCGTTGAAAGCCACACAATGTTTACAGGAATTGCTGATAATCAATGAAAACAGGCTGTATGTTACAAATGCACCGTTTCATCAGTTCCTGAAAGCATTGCATAGCTTCAGCACTTTCTCTGTTCGAGGAGGGGAAAATTCCATCTGCTATCTGTAGTAACAGGCAGTCCGTTTGTACGTACAAGTTCTGATTTAAATACAAAGTCGGGTTAAAGACAGAGATAGGGAACGCAACTTGTTCTTCATTCAGAGGCTGCATGTAAATCTGGAGAACATGCTTGCCAAAGGCAAAACGCCACCTTCTTTACTTCCTGTCTTTTAATCCTTAATTAAGCAATCTAAGGGTTTGGGCTTTGATCCCGTGCTATGCATCCTTATTTATCTGGGACTGTCTTGTGAACTTGTAGATAAACTTCCTATCCCACCGTTAACAGAGAGATGTTGCAAACTTGTCGACTTATAAAAGAAGGCCCAAATGTAGCAGCATTCTTCCAGAATAGATAGCTCAGTATGATTTTGTGCACGTGGCTCTTAAGATTGCCTGATACTAAAAAAACAAAATGGGAGTTTTCTAATTCTCACTGTGAATTCGTCTTATAATTCCAAGCAGCATTCCAAGAGACTTTAGAATCAGCCACAATTCAAGAGGAAAAAAAGGGGTGGGAGTTGGGAAGAGGGATTTCCACTAAATCAGGGGTGGGCTGCTGAGGTTCGCAGGGGTTTGGGAGAACCTCTAGCTAAGATTCTGTGCAGTTCAGAGAATCCCCAAATCCCACTCCTGGCTGCCCACCCCCCCACCCCCCCTCCCAGGAGTCCTCATGCAGCCCGTTTTAGATACAGGTAAGTGCAGGGCACATACGGAGGCTCGGGGAGGGTGAAAAACGGGCCTACCGGAAGTTTGGGAAGGCTGGAAACGGGCCTGTGTCTGGCCTCCAGAGGGCCTCTGGAGCCTAGGGAGGCCATTTTCGCCCTCCCAGAGTCTCGAGAAAGGCCTCTAGAGCCCGGGGAGGGCAAAAACACCCACCCTGCCATGGTGCAGGAGGCCGACTAGGCCACGGCCACCATGGCCAAGGCCACCCAGCAACCGGGCAGAGAACCCCTAGCTAAAATTTTTGAAGCCCACCTCTGCACTAAACATGTACTATCTAAACAATACAGGAAGTATATTGTACTCTCCTGTCATGTTTTCTATGTGGACAATGTCCTGGGCTTTCTGGCAGGTGAGTCTCCTCTTAAATATGCCAGTTTATCTTCTTTTGAGATAGGACAATGATAAAAACATTTACAGGTCCTCACCATTTGATGAGTCGAGACCTGTGGCATAGCCTCATTCTAGCACCTGAAAGGAGGCTTAGTCATTTTTGGAGAACTTACCCTCGTGACCATCTTTTCTCATCCTGTAGTGTATTTTTGTTAGTAACTTGAGCTTTCTCAGTGGTTTGGGGATTTCATAGTTTAGCGAATCATTTTTACATCTTTTATTGTATGACTGATATTAGTGTACAATACACTACATATTAGTGTAACAATAAACCACCTGAGGAAGGAGGCTTTGAGAGATCTACTCTGTGGTTTTTTATCACAGCAAAATGCTTTCTCTAAGACACATTTGTATTGGAGTTGCACCTTGCTAAAATGGTGTTAGGTTTGCAATTGAATCATCTGAAAAAGTTTGATTATCAATTGTTGGGGTTTGCTTTCTTGGATGAGGACAAGGTCCATATACTTTTGTGTTCTATTTCTGTTGCATCCTGATAAATCGATCTACAAGTGTGTTGGTGGCAATGTGTTACTGCTTATGGTTTGCATGTGGTATCAAAGTTGGATTGCCTCTTTCCATGGAGATTTCCTTTAGTTAATCTGCCTGCTGATTTTAAATTGTATGAAGAATTTAACCATTTCTTAAAACACACACATACAACATATACTCTAATTTACAAACTTGTACCCATTTGGGCAATTCTTGGACTCATAGTTTAATAGTATCAGTATGCATCTTGGTGCTTTGACTGGCATTCTTTTTAAAAAATTATTTATATTTAGTAAGAATTTTACATAAAGCAAAAGAAAAGCCTAAGGGAAAGAAAGAGGAAATGTTATAAAAGATGACTTCCCACTTTCTCTTCAGCAGATAATTACAACTTTATAATCCCTCTTCCGAGATGTATAAACACATCTCTTCAGACTATCACTTAATCCACATTTTAAAATTATTCACCAAATGTGCACATTTTCTCCTTACTCTTAGTATTGATGATGTTTCTTACTTACAGCATTGCTGTAAGTAGATTTAATGAACAGCAAGCTGGCTAGAGATGATTAGAAGACTGGAGGCTAAAACATATGAAGAATGGTTGCAGGAACTGGGTATGTCTAGTTTAAGTAAAAGAAGGACTAGGGGAGACATGATAGCAGTCTTCCAATAACTGAGGGGCTTCCACAAAGAAGAGAGAGTTAAGCTATTCTCCAAAGCACCTGAGGGCAGGACAAGAAGCAATGGGTGGAAACTAATCAAGGAGAGAAGCAACTTAGAACTAAGGAGAAATGTCCTGACAGTTAGACCAATGGAACAACCTGCCTCCAGAAGTTGTGAATGCTCCAACACTGGAAGTTTTTAAGAAGATGTTGGATAACCATTTGTCTGAAGTGGTGTAAGGTTTCCTGCCTAAGCAGGGGGTTGGACTAGAATACCTCCAAGGTCCCTTCCAACTCTGTTATTCTATTCTAATTTGAGTGGCAGACCCCCATTAAAATAGTTTATCAAAACTGTCATTCCTTATACTTGATGAATGGGGATGGGGGTCATGTGAACATGATTGTAAGGTCAAGAGGCATTTATTATCTCTGGAATTGAAAAAGAGGTAGAGCTCTCCAATTTCCCACATCAGTATGTAAAGAGTTATACAGTTGTATCTTTACAAACAGGGATTCTCATTACTAGCAAACCACTCAGGGATTGGAGTTGTAGACGTCAATCCCAGGAGAAAACTCACTAAAATAGCAGCGTTATTAGTTAGCTCATCGGTTGCTCCCGCTAACTGTAGTCTCTTGAGTTGGTGGTTGCTAGCCACAAGGCATCTAAAATGCTCCAAGGAGATCAGCAGCTGCAGAGAAATAAGAACCGACTTGAGTAGAGATGTTGTATTCCCCATCATGGGTCTTGAGGGATGTGCTCCTTCATAATTGAAAGGGTGAGGATTATAAAATCAGGGTGATTATAAAGTAATGTACTAAGAAGCTGCCTGTATGGGAAGCAAAAAGTAAACACTCTCTTGATCTGAGATTAACTCGTAGCAATTACATGACAATATCCATGTTCACCTCATAGTCTCGGTATGGAATTTGTTCACCCTTGCCATGTTCTGTGAGCTTTTTCCAACTTCCCACTCTAGTTTACAACCTTGACCTATCAATCAAGTTTTGTCAAAATTAGATTTTGTTTAGCATTCTGCTTTTAAATCAGGTGGTATTGATTTAAGACAGATGGGGCAGGTCTACCTGTGGCTGGATACTTGTGATGAATGATGTCTCCAAAGGAATTTCTCTGTGTAAATTTTCTCAGAAATCTGGCGGCAATATGGAGGGGAAAGAAATCATTTTCCTTGAGTAGCTGAAAGATAAGATGCAATGTTTGAACAAGATGGAAGCATTGGCATGCTGACAGAACTCAATGATTTGTCGAGAGTAAAAGATGATGACCCTTGATGAAAAGGGAGAAGATTTGTTGCCAACGCAACAAAAAGGGAAACATTGCTTGAGTCGAACAATGAGGGAGGATTACAAAAACATCTCAGACACCCCTAAGAAAGTCTTTAGTCTGAAACCCTGGAAAGCTGCTATCAATTAGGGTAAATCAGAACTGCCTAATTTCTACTCAGGACCACACCTGAATCTTTGAATGATATGCTGGGAGCACAGTATCTGGTAACCACGGTGGGAAGGGAATGGTGCATTTAATAACCGTGTGGTCTGAACTAGCCTGACTTTTAGGTCTTATCCTTTTCTTCTGCAGATATTCGGTGCTATAAATATTATCGGAGCAAAGTTACCTGTTTTTAAAATTCCCCTCTCAAGATTTACGGGATTAATGTTGACAGCTTTCTATTTACTTTCAAAGGCATTTCTTAATTTGGATGAAATTGGATTAAGTCAGTTTTTTTGAAACAACAACCCCCTTGGAAGTTCCCCTTTTTAATTTTTCTCCCCCCCCTCTTCTCCAAGTTTCCCATAAAATTGAGA